AGTCGTCTTCGTTTAGGATACCGTCTCCTGCTAGACCATTGGCTAGCGTGAAGACGTATTCCCTATCGGATTGTAGATAGAGCTTGCCACCGGCCCCTATGACCCACGAGTCAGAGGGACATGGCTTTCCGTCATTGATAGCGACAAGTAGACCCTCCTCTAGCTTCCAGGGCGCTTCTTCAGTGGAGTTGGAGTCTGTTGAGTGGAATGGGGCAACTGTAGATGCGCTTGCGACCCTCGTGGGTCGTGGCGTCTGTGGGTTGGACCCGAAATAGAGACGAACTGTAATTAAATAGGGTGGAATGCCTGATCGGAAACGTGTCTTGGTTGCGAAGATGCATTGAAGTCGTGCGCGTACAAGACTGTGAATGGGTCTGGTAGGTGCTTGGCGAAAGAAATACGAAGCATTGCTAGTATTACTGATGCTGCGGACATGGCCATCACTCGCCCTCCACGGATGTGGAATGGAACTTGAGGGCATGACGGGAGTCGAAGAAGCTTGATTGATGTCGAAGCAGACGGAATGCGAAGGGTGCATATCTGGAGGTTGGGCGGAGCTGTTTGGGGACGAGGATAGTGGGAAATTTGATGAGTCGTCCGGAGGAGTAGAGGGCGACGGCGGCAGGCTGTTCGACCTCGTTCGAGTGCGAATTTTCCCGTGCGCGCGAGGAGCACGGGTTGGAATGTGCGATCGCAAGGGATCCAATTCAATGACAATCCAGCTAGTCTCTCCGAAAGTGTGAATCGGGTAAGACTTTGAGATGCCGTGAACGCTGTTCGAGAATGGCGGGAAACAAACGTCAGTGTCAATAACCAAGATCCGACTGTACAGGCCGGGCTCTTACTCACCAGGCAATGGTGCTGAAAACGGACGGGAGTCGTCCGTATGGTGCGACATTATTCAGGTCGAGCATGACAAAGTAGTTTTGCCAATCCCGTTCCAAGACGTCCACGGCACTGCCTGTGGCGAGCACTAGCGGCGGATCTGTGCAGACGAGCGAGCCGGTGAAGAAATGCGAAGGGGACGTCCATAACGTTGGTCGTCGAGGCTGCGATAACATGCTAGCTTCCTTGGATTGCGATGCAAAAGTGGCTTGATGATTGGTAGTACATTGTAGCAGCGTATCAAATGCAGATGGAGTTATAAAATAGCAGGTTGCATCAAGGAATCTGTGAGAGGTGCGATTAGTGATGTCTGGGACGTGAAGATAAGGACAATGGGAGGACTCACTCTTGAGGAACGGTGACGACGTCTTGCTGAGATGATTTGCGGGCGCGTAGAGACATTGTGGAGAGAGGTGGTGGGGTGTGGGGAAGGGTGTGAAGTAACGAGGTGGACGAAAATCGACTTGATTTATATACTGTACATTTTGAGTTTAGAGTACCGGCTGGGAGGTCCATGGGTTATTGAGATCCGCCGAGAAGTTACCGCACCTACGGGCTTGTCTGGGGCCATAGAGTTCAGCGAGTAACCCAAAACGATACAGAAAGCGAATTGGGTCCCGTGATGTGTCGTGATCGTCTTGGGATGTAAGCCAAAATGGGCCGAGTGAGTTGGCCGGACTCACACCCGTACCCGCCGACCATCTCACTGTTTCGTTCAATCGGGAATTTTTTGACAAATTCCCAACGAATTTATTGAGAAATTAGCCTTCGCTAGAAACATTACGTCAATTGTTTTTTTTCTCCATCATCTCTCGCGTGAGATTTCCATTAAATGTGTTCAGTTCGGAGTGATGCCCTTTGCCCATATCTTTTCGTCCAAACTAGCAACGTTTATTTCGGATAATCTCTCGTATCTCTTCGAGATTACTCCTTCGTACCTGCAACGGTACGTCGATAGCCGCGGCCACAATCACCTCACGGGCAAAGATCAAGGTTCAAAGTCGCAAATCACTGTGGCCGGCCCAAAAAAAGAAGGTCGCTTAGAGACCTCGGCCATTGTCGATTTCGTGAAGGGAGAATTTTCACGTTTCCAGAGCCGATAAGAAAAAATCTTGTGCAATATGATGACCTCGTTTCCACCGTAACCCTGCCACCGAGCCTTGGGGACACAAACCAACGGGAAACACGGGAATACAATGCTCTACCTCTCTAACCGTCGAACCTGAACGATGTCTGAGATTTATCGTAGATTCGCCTTGTTGAGTAGGAGACCCTCTCGATCGATCAGCTTGGCTTCCAAATGGAGGTTGGGAACCAGAACTGTAGAAACACCATAGCGGCCTCGTTCCTCCATTCTCCCAACTTCGAAGTTGATATAACTCTCCGGAACCCCAATGTGTGTGTTCGCCACTGCGGTATTAATGAAACGTTCGCTTGTCGTCGTGGCGTCCTATCGTTAGACGACGCGGGTAGCACGTATCCGATTGTGAATAGGACCCAGATTTATGAACCTCGTTGCCCGAATTGGTATGTTGTGCTGTCGCTCACCGACGTCACCGCTGTGCACACTTGAGGCTCGTAGACTACAAATAGTGGCGAAGATTTACCTTTAGAGAATATTGTGAGCTTGATGATGAATGTGATTTGGTGAAAAACTCGCCTATGATGAGCAGCCATCTTGAGATCGACCTGTAGGTGCTCGAGTATCCCTCATCAGTTCCATTTTAGTCGAGGATTTGAGCTTGGTGAATGACATCTTTTCCTTGCATATCAAAGTTACTTTGGGTTGTCGAGTTATTGTGAGCGCGTAAGACGTTTAAGGCAGGTGCCTCTGCGGAGTTTGAATTTTAGATAGTCAATCCCGCCCAAAGCACCTTTCGTCCGAGCACACTTTGACCACATGCATATCAAACGTATGGATATATAGAGACACTCGGAAACCTCAAATGTTCGATTGGTGACAGACTGCTTACCCAGAAAGCAGGGACAAAGCTGACTGCTGATGATGCATGGCATCTCGAGCTTGTATCAAACTCACCTCTTTCATTTCTTTCAGGGTTGCTATTGGCTGCTTGACAGTAGTGCGACTTTGTTAATCCCAAATTCCCGTCGCCTTCCTCGCCACTCTCCCTATGCTATTGCAGTTCGACTACATCAGAATAATAACCAATATTCTACTACATGCTTCAACTACAGTCCA